ACTGCTGTACCTTTTAAATAGTGTGACAAGTTTCGTTAGTAGATTTGTTAAAAATTGTATACATAGAACAATTTTTGTTTTCACTTTCCCTTTAAACTAAATCTTGCTGGTTACCGTGTTGGAGTCATAGATTGTTTCATTTGCTCTTCTAATGCAGTTAATTGTTTGTTATAGTAATATTTATGTATGTACTTATTTATGCATGTATATTTTTATTTATTTAATATATCATATGTATATTTATATTAGTCTATTTATATGCTTATAATTATAATATATTTAAATATATTAAATATTACTGTACTTTATATTCCTTCAATCTAATCCTACACTATCTACTTATTTCTCGGTTTGCCCAATGATTGTCTGGTAGAGAACACCGTTCGGTGTTAAGTCCTCCATATGTACATAATTTCACTATGCATTAAAGTTTAAATAAATATGGTAAACAACGTTTGTAGGATACTCTTGAATTAATTCCAATAGATCGATATTGGAATTGAGACATTTCGTATGTTCAAATTGCAATACTAACAACATAATAGTTCCATATCGTTAAATATATAGTAGTATAGTTCGTTATTGATAGATGTTATTAGTGTAATTGTTGTCGGTTGCCAATGCAAACCGATTCTAATTCCTAACTGTTGCTTCATGAGTATAGTATAAAATTGTCGTTGGCGATAGAATGATTTGATATAGACATTAGATTCAAGAGAAGACATGCTGATATTTATTAGATAAAATTAACAAAATTTTATTATTATTTTTATCTATAATATATTACCAGAGGGAGACTGTACAAAAGTCGTTTGCTTGGGACCTCTATCCCATTCGTGTTTCAACCGTGAAGCAGTTGTGTTTGCATGGCTGTCTTTCGATTTGAAGGGTGGGATATGGCGTGAATTTACTGGGTACAGAGGAATAACACCTGAGTCTTCAGGTGTTAACACATGCGGGGGTATCACGGGCGAAACAGTATACTCTGTTATGTCCATGGTACTGCTCATGTCTATAGGCGACGGTTACCACTTTTAATCAGGTGGGCCGTCAGCTTGAATGGCAACATTCTAAGTTGTATAAAAAAAGACATTATTGTGAATTTTGGTGATTACGTAACCAAAAGTACTATTACGCAAGTAGAGGGTTTTTCAAATCGATAAAAAGTAAAACTCACAGCTGGTTTCAAAAGATGGCGCTAATTCCGATTATGGCCATTTCATTTACATTCTTATCGCATTGTAAAAGAGCAATTCGCATTCATAAAATCTAATTGTAGCGATAATAATATCGCTACAATTGCTTTCAAGGTGTAGCCATTATCTGTTTTAATTAGTGCTAAAAGTCGCTTGCTACAGACTGTTTAGCATTTATGAAATACTAGATGCATCTCGTGGCTTTCTATGTGTGAATCAGTTTAAAAATGTATCCTCTATTTTAAGTTAGAACAGAATCTAACAGGGACACTAGGTGTGTCCTAGTCCTTCGGCCATTTTAAAGTCCTCCTATCCGTTCAGTAGCTTTTGCGTAAAGGTATGTATCAATATCTATCTTTATATCGTCACAGTCGTAGAATACTGACGGATTTGACGAATATTAAATATAAAGATCCGTCAGTATTCTACGACTATGACGATATCTTTACCGATTTATGTGTTTCTAACAGTAGTAGGGCTAACGTTTACCCGCGACTTTGTCCAGGAGAAATTTTTATTGAATGGATAAAAGCCAACATAAGGATGTTCCTTTCCCGTGGGTTTCCTAAGAAGCGACTAAGGAAATTTAATGGTTGAGGGATAGTCAAAAAAGTCCTAAAACGTCACAAATGTGACTTTTGTGACGATTTAAGACTTTTTCGACTTTTGTGCAGTCGAGCAACCGCAGTTGGGTTTTGGAGATGTTTTAAGAGGAACGCTGCTACCCGTTCCTCGCCCTCCCTAAGTCACGTCTTACGACACTCACGGGAAAGGAAGGTATGGCCTATTCTATGCCAGGATTACACGACGATATAGTATAAACATATTTATTATATATATATATATATATATATATATATATATATATATATATATATATATATATCGTATGTGATATCTCCCTTTTTATGGGGGTAAAATGTTCAGCCATGCGAGCCTTAGCCAAGCACGGTTGACTCTAAATCATGTATGAGGACGATGACTGTGACGATGAAGGAAATTTTCTAATACTGCGACAGGTATTGAGGACGTCAACTTTCTTTAATAAAGGCATTTTTATCACAATTATATCGATAGCACAGATGGGGTTGCAATTCCATTTTCACCAAATAAAGAACCAATAGTAGCAGCTCTTCCTAGTTTAGGATTAGATAACGCTGTGGCAGATACCAGTGGTACAATTATTTACTTTTGACTAATCTTGGTACTTTTTGAGTAGTTCGTCAGTGAACTTTTTGGGAAATTAGGTCAACTTATGCCATGTAGTATCATCATGTAAGCCGTTAACTGTACATTGTTGAATATAAGCCTCCCTTTGGAGCGGTTTTGCCAGCAGTTGCCACGTTTGGCAGACGAGTTGTAACCATAGTTAGACTTTGATGATGTTTTAAGAGGAACTCCTTTAGTCGCCCCTTATGATATCCACGGTAAAAGGAAAGGATGGTCCATTCTATGCTAGGATCACAGGGCGATATACGTAGTTCGAATTTACTTCCTTTAGATTTAAAGGCCCATAAAGATGGATACATTATCTGACTGGTCCGTTATTACAGTAGTATAAAGCAAAGCGATTTTTGATTATAGTGCAAGAAACATTGTATGCGCTGCTAATACGTACTTGTGCAATTTAAAATAGCCTTAGAAAATAAACATTAAAGTTTTAGCACATTCAGCCTCTAATTGGCTGATGGTTCAACACGATATGCAACATGCAAGCTTCGCATTTCTAGAAACGTCGAAATTTTAATAAACACAGAATACTAATGGGAATAGAAATTTTAAATCAACATAATATCTGTCTATTTATTTATCTTCACGCTAAGTGTAGGATAAGCAGATATGTTTTTATTGACTGATAGTCTTCACAGATCAACCAACGGAGTATTGATTGAAACTATGAATGAATGAAAACTATTGTTCGCTTTAAAGAATGATACAGATTATAAAGGTTAATAATATGTGTTTAATTTATCTGCAATATTTTTACTTCGCGGCACCACACTTTCACAATTCTACAACACACACACACACATATAAATATATATTGTCCCTGTAAATTAGTCATTACGGGGATATATGGAGACGCCTGCCCTCTGGTGTGAGTGCCGTGCAACAACGCGTGTGTGTCACTTTTTACGCGGGAACAACCATCGACCTCCACGACAGTGATAAAAAATATTAACAGTCTTCGGTTATTTGGGGTGAGTTTAGGTTATTATTTATTATTATTATTATTGTTTTTATATGCATACACATAAATCGAGGAAAAATAGACAACGATAACACGAATTACGGGAGCCCTGAACCAGCACATAAGTGTAAGATGAAGTAGGTGATGAAAGTCAATATTCCACCGAAATTCCTCTATATAACAATATGGAAACAAATTAAATGAATACTTAATTATATAAGAGCAATATTAAGAGGCAACAATGGGCGGCCTTATCGCCAAATAGCGATCTCTTCCAGGCAACCTTATTACAATATTTTACCAGTAATATTATAATAATATTAATCTTATTATGAATTAATGAGAATAGAGAAGGTTAAAAAATAAATGAAATAATGGGATCCATTTTGAAGTGTCGAAACGAACTTTCGAAAATTAAAATTTTATTTTGATATCACAGTAAAATCTTTATTCCTAAGACCAATATGCATTAAGATTGTAATAGATTTTAAGTTAAAATTATTATAAATTTAGTTTCAATTTGTGAACCTATCAAATTAAAATATTAGATAGGTTTAGAGAAAATGCGCCTCAGAATCGATCCAACTGTTAAACTTAATGTTAAAAATTTATCTGACATCGTATCGATAATCGATTTATTGTTTGCATTTAAAAAGCATGTACTTTACAAAAAACTAGCATCGTGTGAGTGAAGACGCATTTACAATCGATTGTGTTCAATGATGTAACTTATTTATCGCCAACTCGCAACACGACGTGGAATCGACTTTTTCTGAATCGAGTTGTCACTTCGAAATGCCAATCGTCAAGTTGACGTTGATAAAAAGTTTTAAAGATAGTGGTGGCAACAGAAATCGTATTGCGTTATATATAAAGGTCATACTCGAATGTCAGATTGCTGTAATGATATGAGGCGAGTCGGTAAGTTATTGCATTCTCCAGGCGGGCGGCATTACAATTTTGTGCTTTCGAAATTGAGATACAGTGAGTTTAATTGAATATGACTGATTGATGACCGACGGGTAATAACTACCAATAAATATTATATCAGTCGATAGCTTTTGGTGAATTAACTGTATTATTTGTATTTATAAGTTGGGAACTAGTTTAGTTAAATATCCTTAATGACGACTTTGTGGTTAACTATACAGTTAAATATACTGCATAACGAAAGGGTTATTGTCGAAGTTTGTAACCTCGTCTAAAATAATAAACATGCTGTTACTCAGCAACGGTTGGCTAAAACAAAACAATACATTTAACTTACAAATCTACTCGGTCTCTTAATCTAAGAGTTAGTTTAATATTCAATTTTCTATATTTTTCACCGCAAAGTTGACTGAACGAGAGTTCTGTATAGCATTAAGTCCGTCTTTTGTATCAAACATTTTTATAATATGATCAATAAAGAATAAATAAAATAAAAACGGTAGCAGAGCGTAGTCTCGATCCTAGACATGATTGTTATCTATCTATGAATTTGTGAATTTATTACCCGTTTATTATTTTTGTCCACGCCAAATTTTTATCAGTTTCCGAAGGATTTCAGGAAATCCTTTGTTTAGGATTTATTATGATGTAATTTTGGAAATAATCAAATTAAAGACGGAGACTAATTTGTATGACTTTTATAACGAATAACCAACGAACGAATAGAGAACATGAATCAACTTATTGTTGACGCTTTCTTGGCTAACAAAAAAGAATCAGGCGTTTAAACATGCCCCCCGGCGTTGAATGCCGTAGCTTCAACCAGACAGTGATGGCAATGGACAAATCTTGCTAAAAGCCCGTCGAATCACTCCGGTGGACGTTTTTATATCAGCAACCCGTACTATGCCGTCAGGTCCAGGATGAACTTCCACAATTCTTCCCAATTTCCACTTCAACGGCGGAAGATTATCCTCCTTGATCACTACTAAAGTGTCCAACTTCAAATTATCCTTGCAGGAACGCCATTTAACGCGTTGTTGTAATTCTGCAATATATTCCTTACTCCATCTAGTCCAAAAATGTTGACGAAGTTGTTCAATGCGTTGGAATCGTGTAAGATTATTCGTGGAATATAATCGATAATCTCGTTCTGGTAAGGATGTGAGTGATCGGCCAATGAGAAAATGACCTGGGGTCAGTGGATTATAGTCTGCTGGATCCGAAGAAAGTGGTGTTAGTGGTCGAGAGTTTAATACGGCTTCAATTTGTACAAGTGTAGTGTTAAGCTCTTCGTAAGTTAATGTACAATTACCCAACACTCGCTGTAAATGGTACTTGGTCGAACGGACACCCGCTTCCCAGAGGCCTCCGAAATGTGGCGCATACGCCGGAATAAAATGGAAATTAATACCGTCGTTTGCTGCACTTTCGCCTAAAGAATTAAAATTAGCCTTTAGAAATTTTGATAAGTCGTTGTATGCACCAACAAATGACGTACCGTTATCAGAATAAATATTAACGGGTTTCCCTCTTCGTGAAATAAATCGTCGTAAAGCCAGTAAATAATTGTTGCTCGTTAGATCTCCCACCAGCTCCAAATGAATGGCTTTAGTCGTGAAGCACACAAAAACCGCAATATACACTTTTACTAGTCTGCAACCGCGACCTTGACGATTTGCGCACATAATAGGGCCTGCATAGTCAACACCAACAGTCATAAAAGGATAACCACCGGAAAGAAGACGCTGCTGTGGTAAATTTCCCATCAAAGGAGTAACGACCTTACCCTTTATGCGTGTACATTTGATGCAATTATGATAGCAAGTCTTTGCTAAATTTCGACCACCTATGGGCCAATAACTTTCCCTAATGGACGCCAACAATAATTGAGGACCAGCATGTAATAATCTTTTATGCTCAAATGCGAATAATAATTTTGTAAAAATGTGAGTGGACTGTAAAATAATAGGGTGTTTTTTGTCATCAGAATAATTTGAGTTGTCAATACGACCTCCAACACGCATTATATTATTTTCGTCTAAGAATACGTTAAATTTTAAGAGTGGACTTTTTTTAGGCAAGCTTTCTTTATTCAAAAGTAATTTATACTCGGGAAAGGATTCGTATTGACAATTTGAAATTATTAAAATTAAGGAATATCGCAATTCCTTTTCACTTAAAAATATTGAGACTTCTGGCAGCCTTTTACATGAATTTATGAATCTTAAAACATAGGCTACCGATCGCACGAGTCTTAAATAATTGGAGAAGCGATTAAATTCAATGAGCCTTCTTGAGCTTACGTCGTGTACAATAGCGTTTAAAGAATGGTCTTGTTTAATCTCAGGTAAAACTTCGACATGTTTTGGTTGAGGGGGCCACTTCACAAAGTCATCACGAAGAAATGCAGGACCTGACCACCATAGTTCCAAACTCTGCAGATTACTAATATCCACACCACGAGATATTAGGTCTGCTGAGTTTTCATCAGTTGGTACGTGTCGCCAGGTACAGTTTTCTGTCCTTTCTAAGATTTCGGCAACGCGATTGCGTACAAACGGCTGAAGTCTAGAAGGTAGCATACGTAACCAACTTAAAACGATGGTGGAGTCAGTCCAGCAATAAACTTTATTTATTTTTAACCTCAACGAAGTGACGACTTTGTCATAAAGTCGAGCTGCTATCAATGCACCGCACAATTCCAACCTTGGGATTGTGGTTGGTTTGATCGGTGCTACTCGACTCTTAGCCATCAACAACCGAACTAAAACCTTTCCAAAATCACTAACACTACGAACATAAATGCAAGCTCCATACGCACGTTCTGACGCGTCTGAAAATACATGCAATTCTAGCAATTTATGTGAGTCGCAAATAACAATTCTTGGAATACGAAGTTTGTTTAAAAGGGGTAAAGCTTCACGAATACGTTTCCAATTCTTATTAAGGTCATAATTTAATGGTTCATCCCAAGATAATTTTTGAATCCAAAGCTGTTGTAGCAGCAATTTCATATTAATTATGCAAGGAGCCAAAAGTCCTAATGGATCAAAAATTCGTGCAATTGATGAAAGAATATCACGTTTAGTATTGCCATCAGGGATTAAAGAACCTATGGGAAAACATAGTTCGTCAGAATTAGCATGCCAACTGAGACCTAATAACTTATTTGGATCATCATCATTGTGCCCAATATTTAAATCAATTGAAGAAATATTATTATTTGGAGACTCTATAATCAATCGAGGTTCATTCGATTTCCACTTCCTTAATGGCATACAAGCCGAAGCAAGTACATCAGTGACCTCCTTACGGATAGCTTGAACTTCAGTCAGATCATCACCTCCTGTTAAAAGATCATCAACGTAAAAATCATGTTCGATGATCTCTGCAATTTTGTCATTTTTGCATTCGATACTTAATTGTTTAAGACACCGTGTAGCCAGGAATGGTGCACTAGATGTGCCATATGTCACCGTGTTTAATATAAATTTTTGTATCGGCTTGTTTGTATTACTACGCCAAAGTATTTGCTGCAGATGTCTATCAGATGGATGGACAATAATTTGCCTGTACATTTTTTCTACATCTGCAGACAAAACATATTTATGCTGCCTAAAACGGAGTAGTATTGACACCAAATCGTCTTGAACAATAGGACCTATCATTTGGATGTCATTATAAGAAACACCTGACGTGGTAGGGCTACTAGCGTTGAATACAACCCGAAGTTTCGTAGTTGTACTACTATCACGCATAACACCGTGATGGGGTATAAAGTACTCATCTTGTTCTAGTTTAGGTTGTTCACATTTTGACATATGGCCAAGCAACTCATATTCTGACATAAAACTGTGATACATTTCACTTAAATTAGGCTTACTCTTTAATCGATGTTCTAAAGAATATAAACAATGTTCAGCTCGTTGAATTGACTCTCCTAAGACAGAAGAAGTTTGCTTGAGTGGTATACGGACGCAAAAACGACCATCATCGAGACGAGTTGTATTCGCGATAAAGTGCTCCTCGCATTTCTTTTCTTCTGGCAGATAATTATGTTTGGAGTTTATTTCTTCAAGCTGCCAAAACCGTGTCAGATCAGTTCGAATATCATCGAAATCCTGATTTGAAGTAGAATCGATTTTATTTAAATTGCATCTTAATTCACTTACGTCTGTAGTTGTGACATGATGACTAAAAATAGGACCTGAAATTATCCATCCTAATTTTGTTTCACATAAAACAGGCTTTTTCTTGCCTAATGTTATTCTTCGCGTACCTACCAAATCCCAAAAGAGATCAGCACCGATTAAAATGTCAACATGAGCAGGTATAAAAAACGTAGGATCCGCTAAACAAATATCAGTTGGTATGTCAATATTAGAAATATTCACTTCGTGACTAGGTATATTACTAGTAATAGATGGCAAAACATAACACTGAACCTCAGAGGAATAATTGTTATTTAATGACGTCATTTGTACATGACAACTTTTGCCTACGCATGATGTTGCGTTATTTATACCCAAAATTGACTTATCTACCTTACAAGTCATCAAATTTAAACGTTGACACAGTGTCTCAGTTATGAGACTCGATGTACTACCACTATCTAGTATAGCACGAACAATGTGTTCGCGATTGTTGTCGTCATATAATTTAATCAAGGCAGTAGATAATAACACATCACACTGAACTTTATTATAATTAGATATGTGTGTGGTCAAAGCTACATTATGTGAAGCCACAGATGATGTAGATGCTGAGGGTGTATTCACAGATGTAATTTTATTTTCATTACGTACCGGCTGATCACTAGTTACATGAATGAGACTATTGTGTCTTCGCTTGCATATTTTACAGCCTGATTTTTTGCATAGATTGGCAAAGTGGCCTGCGCGGAAACAATTAAAACATACCTTGTAGCTTGGTAGTAATTTTAGTCGCGCTTCAATACTTAAGGCAAGGAACTGAGGGCAATTTGCTAAATTGTGGTCGCCCTTACATTTAGGACAAACACGTTGATGTGATTCAGCTGTATTGGAATTTTGATTAGTATGTCCACCTTGTATCGACACCATAGATTTTAGTCTACCAGTAGATTTATGAGTCGAATTAATTTGACTAACACGTGATAGCTCTAATGTTTCAAATAAGTCAGCGCTACTACGTATAAATTGTAAAAAGATGTCAAATGTTATTGAGGCATCCTTTTCCATACGTCCTTTAAATTCCTCCCACTTCCGAAAGGTTTTGTTGTCTAATTTGTGAGTAATAATATAAATTAGAAGAGTGTCCCAATGTTTTACAGGTTCACCTAACGATTCAAGTGCTCGTAGGTTTTTATTTACCTGATCAATCAAACGTTTTAAAGTTACAGATGACTCCTTTGTAATAACTTCAATATTGAATAAAGACGATACGTGATTTTGTATTAGTAAACGTTTATTGTCAAACCTATCACACAAGAGTTTCCACGCAACGGCATAATTTTTAGATGAAAACTCAACTGATTGGATTACCACAGCAGCAGAACCTTCCAGAGATGCACGTAAATAATGGAATTTATTTATCTCGTCTATTTCATCGTTATTATGTATAAGACTAGTAAAAGTGTCCCTGAACTCAAGATAATTGTCGTACGACCCACAAAATTTTGGTAACTGGATGGTGGGTAGTTTAACGAGCTTATGATTACTCATGCGAGTACCCTTGTCACTTCCTATACTACTCATAGAACCTTCATTAATATTTTGCAAACCTTGAGCTTGAGCAATTGCTTTGAAGTATTGTGATTCAAATTCTGAGCGTTCTTTAAATTGCTCTTCAATATTATCAACAATACACTCTAAACGCAACTGTACCTGATCATATTGCTCATACAACGACTCAATTTTACCCATACGCAATTGTAATTCTCTAGCATCCGAAAGACTTAACGGTTCGTCAGTTAGCGAATGTAAATAGTTAATAAATGCAGTTAAACGACCTTTAAAACTACCACGTTTCTTAACTAATTCCCTTTCTTCGGCCATTCTGGGATTCGCGTGTTGTCGACCTGGAATTTATACAAATAAAAAATAAATTAATAAATGTAATAAACAAGGCACACAATAGATCCTTACTATATTGGTACTATATTACTATATTATTGGTACAATGAGCAAATAATATTTCAATCAATTAAATAGCTTTATAATACGATATGTTATATTTATAGTATAGGTACAGATGTTAATAGGTATATAGGAATAATATTTAAAAAGTATTCAATATCGGACAAATTCAAATTATTGAATTATGCACTACGTAGTTACAGAGATATACTTGATACGTGACTGTATAACTTATCCACTTCAGTTTATTAATAGAATCATACAAACAGTAAATAGTTCACTAATCTGCTAAATATGTATATTATAACCCTATAGAATCGTATAAAATTTTACTATAATAGAACAATAGAATCAGATACAATAGTAAAATATATCTACCTACACAATAATTATACGTGAATAACTATTACAATTTACACTATAATTATTCATTTAATAATCCAAACAATGTAGCATTAATGCTTACTATACTTAATTTAAGTATTATTTAGATTTAATTACAGCAAAACTTAAGTTAAACAAAAATTATTCACACTACAATAGGTAGAAACTTTATGTAAGTAAAATGAACGGTACAGATAAATAGTGTAATTATTTTTTACTAACCTTTTTAAAAATCCTTTATTTACACTAAATATTACCTGTCGAGTGCTGGGTTATATTTAAATATGAATAAATAAAGACTTAACACCACTGAAAATACACTCAATCCATCCACTGTAGGTAAACACTATCTTGATTTTAATAAATTCGTCTTTTATTCTTCTAGTTTAATTATATTCCACAAAATAATAGCTAATCCTTATCAGTTTCACATCCGGCTTCGATCTAGGACCATGTTTAGGATTTATTATGATGTAATTTTGGAAATAATCAAATTAAAGACGGAGACTAATTTGTATGACTTTTATAACGAATAACCAACGAACGAATAGAGAACATGAATCAACTTATTGTTGACGCTTTCTTGGCTAACAAAAAAGAATCAGGCGTTTAAACATCCTTTCTTAGAAAAATATATGCAAAAAAAGGGAGTATAAAAATTTTCACGTTCCTAAAGATATAGACTATGCGTTAATATATAAGTTAGTCTGGATATGTTGTAAAATATCTATAATTTTGCAATTTAGAAAGTACGTAAAAATGAAGTGAAAATGACTAATAGCACCATTGCTAGCAATGTACCCTCTTTTCGAATTCTTGTCGAATTCATCATGATGGGCCAAGTGACCTGCATTCATCCTCAGCTATCATCCTCCACTGGTGCCTCGTCGGTGTATACCGATAGCGCGAGCGAGGTTTTCTATTCCATTTTCAACTATTAAAAAAAGCTCCCTGCCGAGGTTTTTCTTAGAGACCACATTATGGGGTTCTTCAAAAAGAATATATTAAGGTTTCTTCAGGGTAGGCAATGCGCACGTAACACCCCTTGTATTGCAAGCGTTTATAGGCTACAGTGACCGTTTACCATCAGACGGGCTCTATGCTTGTTTGCCACCTGTGTTATATAAAAAAAATATGACTATGATATTAATGAATATTAGAGATAAGCTTCTGATTACAATAATAGCAAACGAATACGAAATTATGCTTGCAGAATTATTTTACACTCAAAAGTAACTAAGTCGTGCTGTTACTATTATCTTTCAGCTATTATGAAGTCGTTTCTCAATATTTCTTCTTCTTCTCCAATTAAACCCGAGGGAGTCGTTTGTTTGGGTACCTCTATCCAATTTGTGTTTCAACCGTGAAGCAGTTGTGTTTACATGGCTGTGTTTCGGTTTGGAGGGTGGGATATGGCAGTGAATTTACAGGGTACAGAGAAATAATACTTGAGTCCTCAGGAATAACAACGCATAGGAGGTGTCAAGGGTGAAACAGTATACTCTGTTATGTACATGATACTGCTCATGTCTATAGGCGACGGTTACCACTTTCCGTCAGGTAGACCGTCAGCTTAGGTATTCTAAGTTGTATAAAAAAAACCTAGTGACTACATTAAATATACATAATTTAAAATTTTATAAGCGTTTAAATTGTCCAACCATAATCCAAATTGAAAATACAATATGGTCGTATTACACTATAAAAGATATATCTAACAAAAGAAGTCACAATCAATTGAATGGATAAGCGGGGATTGTAGGTGTCGATTTTATTGTGGGCTTCTTGGCTACTGAGAGAGCTAATACCACACGACTTAAGATCTGGTCGGTCATTTTGTTGGGTTTTGTTGATTTACTGAGGGCTCTAGGGGATCTTTTTACAATAATAGTGATTCCAAAGGTGTGTTTAAAACATTGGTACATCTAAACCAATCACAAGACATTCTGCGTTCGTTGGTTGAAAGATTAAGTTAAGCAATTTTGTATGGGTGGCCATTTCGTACTATTTCATTCGGTGTGCTTTTAATTAAAATTAATAAAAATCTTTCACATCTTATCAGTTGATACAAGTAGACGTGGTGTCCAATTATTTATTTATATATTCATTAGTACATATATGTGTACATGGCGGAATTAATGCTCAAAGCATTCTCTCCCAGTCAACCATAGGGAAGTGTTAGAATATTCGAATGCGGTACTACTAATTATTGATATACATACATACTAAAATTACATATATAAATGAATAAATATATATAAATATCAAATATACTTAAATATACTATATTATACACGAAATTGAGAATAATATAAAGTATTTACTTCTCGGATAAAGTAAAAATGTGAGCATGAACGTTTTTTTCACTTAGCTGTGTAGTTGTCTATTGCCTGGCATGGGTAATATCAGTATTGTTTCGATATCTATATAATGGGTTCTTCTAAATAATAGTCCATGGCCATCTTAATGCTAAATGTTACGTGTATGGCAAATTACATGGCGATTGATTGAGTCTATGATGCCAAAAAGGTAACAAACGAATTTACTTTCGTGTTTATAATATAATTAAGAACTAGGTGCTCGATATATAAATTTAATTCAGTGTATAGAAAATATTAGGAAAAGATGCCAAATTTGTCATAAACAAATAAACAATGGCGAATAGAGATTGAATCCGGTGGATTCCGGAAATCCGGACAATACACATTCCCGCGACCCCGTTACTGTGGGCCAAGTTACAAGAGATTCACGCTTAAAGTAGTTCGAAAAATTAAAGAAAAAACGACTCTTGAGTTACAGTTACGAACAAACCAAATTAATTCGTGTGATATAAAAATTACAATCCAATATGGAACTGCTTCCGATTGAAAATTACTCAATTAAAAAATTACTAAAAATGAATTTAAAGTCTAGTGTACAAAGAGATGTATCTGAATTGAAATCAAAACGCCACCTTATATAGGTGGTCAAATTAATAAGGATATAATAACATTGAAGAGTAACTAAATTTCTTACGAATGTTCAGCATAAAAAATTGACAATTAAAAAATACTTACTCGTGTTATAATTTATTTAAAACAAGATTGATTTTTTCTGTTTCTATTTTTAATAATATAAAAAAAAGTATTTACATATGTCTATGAGTTGTTTCATTCATAGTACAAGCTCTGTTTAGTTTGAGACTATGTGGATTTATCTAATAAAAGTATAATTATTAAAATAATAATTTTTATTTAAATACCATATCAGATATTAATTGTGCACTGCTGAATATAGGTCTCCTCCATAATTGGGAGAGTTTTGCCAGTAGTTGCCACGCTTGGCAAGCGGGCTGGCAATCGTAGTTAGACGTTTGGTCATGTTTTAAGAGGAATGCTCCTGCTCATCCCTCGACCACAAGTTACCTTAGTTACCTCTTACGACACCCACAAAAAGGAAAGGGTGGCCTATTCTGTCGGGACCTATACAGCAATTTAAATAAATAAGTAAATATTTCACGCACCTCTTATCGCTTGAGCCCTTCGCCCCATGACACGACATAACACATTCAGGGGACGTCCATATCTCACATTGTCCCAGTGCTCTGCAGAAACCGTATTTCCTAATAGAATTGGTTGTGCATCAAAAATGTTTCCGGTACATTCCGAGCGTTTTCCGGTATTTTTTTCTTTATGTAAGTACTGTCCAGACATCATCAAGTTACACTTTCCGGTATTGTCTGTTGGAAGATAAAAGAATCTGTATTTGTTATATGTAGGGTAGATTTAATTTTCTACATCGTGTCCCTTAATAAGATTGAATAAGTCAGTCCGTTGCTAGCAAATTGCCCACATGTCAACCTCCAAGTGGTTCCTCCCGGAATTCATCATAGTTACGAATTCTTATTTTTTTTTTTCCGTTATCACTTCCTTCCTTATATGATTCCTTCGTTATCACCTATCATCCCTTACTAGTGTTCCACCGGTATCTACTGATAGTACTGAGTAACTATTTCATTTTTACCTATTAAAAATATATAGTAATTGCAATTACAAATATATAGATATTAATATGTGTATATCCCTACCAGATCGGTGTGTTTATAAATGCGTTTATCGAAAAAAGCAAGGCAAACTTGATTTTTTTTTCTTTTTTTTATATGCAACTTAGAGTGGCAAACAAACTGACGCTTGATAGAAAGTGGTAGACGCCACCTATAGACACGAGCAATACCGTAGACATAACAAAGTATACTACGTTGCCCATGATACTCCCATGCGTTGCTATTCCAGAGGATTAAGTTATGCCTCTGTACCCTGTAAATTTACTGCCATATCCCACCCTTCAAACTGAAACATAATCATCCAAACTCAACTTCTTCACGGTAGTAAACACGAATGGGACAGAGGTGTCCAAGCAAACGACTTTTGTACAATGTCTTCCTCTGGCAATTGAATTGTGATAAAGTAATATATACGGTTTTTATTAGAGAAAATGCATCTTTAAAGATATTCTATGCCTAGATTGCTATAAATAAAATAAGTCAGCCCATGATCCATCGGGTTAGCGGTATCAGGCCGATAGTGATCGTGGAACGAGCGTACCGTGCCCTAATACCGGTAATGGAAGTCTACGTTCGATTTTCCGTGTCGTTTGCGTCGAACGCGCGAGATAACGAGAAACGTTGCAAATATAGCTTTATATAGTTTACGATTTATCATAGTGCGAAATTGGCGGGTGAGAAAGCGACATTAAAATTACATAAGTATCTAACGTACTTGGTCGATATACGTCTACTTAGATGGAAAGTAAAGTACTAAAAATGAAATATGAGAATGGCCAAAACAAATATAGGCTTGTATAAAAATTTTACTTTATTTTTGTGCGTATGTGTGTGTGTACGAGTACGCGAACGTGTCTGTGAGCCCTGAGCCATGTATGTGTGTGTGCGTGCGTGCGTGCGTGCTTGCTGCGTGTGTGCGTGCGTGTGTGTGTGTGTGTGTGTGTGTGTGTGTGTGTGTGTGTGTGTGTGTGTGTGTGTGTGTGTGTGTGTGTGTGTGTGTGTGTGTGTGTGTGTGTGTGTGTGTGTGTGTGTGTGTGTGTGTGTGTGTGTGTGTGTGTGTGTGTGTGTGTGTGTGTGTGTGTGTGTGTGTGTGTGTGTGTGTGTGTGTGTGTGTGTGTGTGTGTGTGTGTGTGTGTGTGTATAAATAAATACACATATAAATGAGTGATATTTCGTGGTCACAGTGAAAATATTTTAATTTAGAACACAAGCGTTACAACACAACGTAATACAATTTAATGTCATCAATTGTCACAAAACTAATGACTAATTAATCAATAAACTCCTGTGTTACCATTATAAATCCAAGTATATGAGGTTAAAAATTATTTGTCGTTTTTAATCCATATTTTTTGGAAAAAATTATACATCTTTTGATTCGCAAATTAAAAAACACGATTGTTCTGCAAAAACGATTTATTAAAAAAATAGCCACGTTCAGCATGGTATGGAGATTCTAACGATATATTTAATTATTTCTTTCTTTATTAATTCTAGCCATATATTTAAAACTATTAAGGAGTTTAGAAGATATGGTAGAACAAAGAAACTCATATTGCTTGAATTTTAAAAATGAGTCTTCTTTTTTGGTCGGCCTTATCAGATGCTAAAAATTTCAATGAATTCTGTATCTAGAGATAAATTATTGAGTTTTTTAATGCCATACTTCTACTAATGTACATACCAGGAAAGATTACTGTGGAACGAGAAGTTCATCCCCGCTGTATCTGAAACAAATGGAAACTGATTGTTAATTTAAATTACATTATTAAAGATTAAATATATTAAGCGTTTTCTACTTTATGAGCCAAATTTTATTTTGTTTTAATTTATTTAGTGAGACATACAATTCTTAGAATATAAAATAATTGGTGAAATATGGCCGTAAAATTACAGAGCACAGGAGCGTATGTCGTAAACAGAGGTGGAGAGCAGTTAGTGCTAGCAATATACCTTAGGTAGCCCTCCATTCGGAAGAGGGGAGGTTATGTATATAGCAATATACATATCATCTGTCGCTGGTGCCCCGCCAGCGTATACTGTCCCAAATGAATTCTTCAAAAGGAGGGTAAAGAGGTTTCTTCAAGGTCGGCAAAGCACGCGTAATACCTTTGCTATTGCAGGTGTTCATAGGCTACGGTAACCACTTACCATTAGGTGGGCCGTATGCTTGTTTGGCACCTCAGCGGTATAAAAAAAAAGTCGGTTTTTAAGAGACATTATTAATTTATCCATTATAAAAATAATAATAATAATAAAAACCTTCTTCGTTATTATTTAAACTAATTACAAAAAGGTTTTAAAATATGTAAATTAAGTAGCTTTATATGACTGCGAACTCGTACTAGACGTACTTTTAAACTAACAAAAAAAAAAGTATTATTTCTTTTCAATAATTGGGCTAATGATATTTAAAATTATTAAAATTTTTAAATTAATATCATTTTTAGACGCTGAGATATAGCGCTGCGACAGACGGACGGTACCTTACGGTACGGAACCCTAATAAACAACGATCCTATTGAAATTATTGGATTTTATTGTAGTGTAAAAACAACCCTTGGTTTTTATCTTCTACTGGGTTGAGACCGCGACCCTCGCGTGGGGGTTGCGGTCGAAAGGTTGACAAATACTGTTTGGTCAATAAAAAAACGGCCCTAACAATATCATAACAAGGTCTAAAATACATAAACGTCCACTAGTATTCATATTTTTTTTTTTTATTTAGTTAATAGTATTTTCACTACACACAAATAAACAACCGCCTTCATTATCAAACACTTAGTATGACATCATCGAGTATTAAGTAAACAATGCTTAAGGCATTACAAATAGGTTTCCGAGATATAACGGTTGAGTGGGAGTAAGCAGTAACTCGAGACTAATGCTTTGTATATGTACATGGACGGTCGAGTAGTTCGGATCGGGGCGGTAGAAGAAATTACATCAAAAACATAAAATGTAAAAAAATTGCCAAGTCTTATAATGCAGTCGTTCCACTGCAAGTTGTGAGATCGCATGTTATTATGTATTTACGGAAGCACCTATTCGACAACTGTTTTATAAGTGGTTATCTGATTGAAACAATAAAAACTAATAAAAACTTATCAATATTTATAGTGACCATACTGATAATAGACGTGTTCATTTCTTTAATAATTATGGTATACATTTATACATTTATGATTTTTACAATATAATATTTAATCCAAATATAATATTTCAGAGCTATGGATTTTTTTTTTTACTTTGTTTTGATATTTATTTTTAATGAGTGAAAATGGTATGTCAGCCCCGCCTGCGCTAACGAGATACGCTGGCGGAGCACCAGTGAAGGGTGATAAATGAGAATGAAAACAGGCCAGTTAGCCCAAAATAATGAATTCATCAGGAATTAACCATGATAGTTTCCAGGGGGAACCGCGAGGTGATCGACCTGGTTGGGTATATTGCTAGCAATTGGATTCTCAGTCTCCATTATTAACAATCCCTTTCCCCTCTATTTTGATATTAAATATAATCTATCTTAATGTTTGTTAAATATTATAATATTTTGTATTCGTACCTAAAAATTTGTAATATCTATTCTTCGAGGTTAAAACTAGATGTATTTTTGTAGAAAAAAAATCTGAAATTACCACTTAAGCTGGTAATATATGAATGAGTATTAAATATAGATACAGATTCGCAGTTTTCGAGTAACTTGGACTTGGACCGATAGAGATCGTACTTGCAATTTTATAATGCAAATACCATGGTTTTCGATGTGGCAGTGTTAACAAAACGGCATCAGTTGTGTGTGAACCGACTTTAAAGTTCGGAATTGACTTACTGTTAACTGAATTTTCGAAATTCAACGCAACAATGTGAATGCACCTACGCAGTGCACCGGGTGAATAAAGGTGTAATTAATCTTGTTATCGAGTACAGATAGATAGAAAAATGTAAGACTCGTATAAAAACATTTCAAATTATATACTACTAACCGAGTCCGATGGTTTTTTTCCTCTAACCAAACCAACTTTCTTCAAAAAATGAGCTATCTAATGAAAATAATTGTTCGAATCCGACCCGTAATTGTGGAGATTAGCGCGTTAAAGCGAACAAATTGTTTTGCTTTATTATTAGTTAAAACAGTTATCTACGTAAGTATGTCTGTTTGTATTGGTTTGGGTGTTTTCTGTATATAAAAAAAAAAGTATTACAGTACATTGACGATGCAATTTGTATTTACAGTACAAGCTCTGATTAAATTGAGGCTAGGTGGCGCTGTGTGACATTTATTTATTTCAGCAACATTTATATCAAAGTTCATATGTATTTATTCAATTATTTTTCGACGGTCCTATTTACAACACTTTTTTACACCATGGACCTATTTACATTGGCCATTTCCACTTGTTCCTATCAACGTTTTCCCAATGGGGGATAAGAATGGAATTTTATTTCACTAGGCTTTGCGACGTTTTAAAAGGGATGCCTATTACGAAACCCACAAGAAAAGAAGGGTCGGTCCATTCTATGCCGGGACCATAAGGTACGGTGGCAAATAAAAATTATACCACACAAATAAATAGAAAAAAATATAAATAAATTTTTCTTTTTCTAAGTCAATAAATCAGTTTGACACACTTTTCTTGCCGCCTGTACCTACACGTAAGCAAAACGCATGGGAACTCTATCCTTAAGACGTATAACAGCAAATATACGCTCTCATTATCCAACAATGTAATAAAAGGACAGTAATGTGTTTCACAATACTACTCGAATAGCAAATAGGACAGTACTAAAAGTATTGTTGTTCAAATGGCGCGATTAAAAAGTTGATATAATTTTTTTATAAGTCGACATGAATGGGTTAAATTGATGGGTTTAATATGTTACAAGAGAATGGGGTTATGAATGTGATACGGTGTTTATAAGGTTTAGAGATTTTACTGTTATTTCATACTAGTTGTATGCTGCGGTTCAGCTTGCATTAGTGTATAAAGTAACATGTTTTATAAGTTGAAACAGGATTATAACCTATCCGTGTCTTTAATTCAGTTAAGCCATTTTACCGACTAATGAACATACGAACATCTATACAAACATGTATATATATACTTATATATCCTTGGGGGTTTTGCCAGTAGTTGCCACGCTTGGCAGGCGGACTGGCAACAACACACACGGGAAAGGAAGGAAGGGGAGGTCTATTCTATGCCGATACCACATGGAAACCATCATGGTTAATTCTTGTCGAATTCATCATGGTGGGCCAATGCCGGTTTCACTGGTGACCATTCCATTATCACTAATTAAAAAAATATTAAATGTGCAACCTATTTTTAAGATATAACATATAATTGATACAGTTATCAAATATAGCTGTGACCACACATAATTTCTTATCTAAACGGTTAATTTATCCTTCGCAACCATTATAAGTGCATGCAAATCCAATGCAAAGTGTGTGGTGTCACTTAATTATGCAAGGTCGCGCGCGGGTTTTCATATTTTATTATGTAAGTTTTATTAATATCTATTTGTAAACTAATATTTTCTTGTTTTTTTTTTATACTGGCCAACTTTTACAATTGTTCTTTTTAAAGGAACCTTCTTCGATATTTGAAAAACTTTAATATTTGAATAAAAAAAAGTAGCCAATTACAAATTTTGTGGTTACCAATACATTTAACGAATAATTTTTTTCTATTTGCATACATCGTCGTTATCATCCTATCAGTGGTTAATTGTCCACTACTGGACATAGGCCTGCCTAATAAGGGGAGTTTTATCAGTAGTAGCCACGCTTGACAGGCGAGTGGGCAACTGTACTTAGACTTTGGTGATGTTTTGAGAGGGACGTTGCTGCTTATCCCTTAACCATTTAGTTCCTTAGTCGCCTCTTACATATATAAATGTGAAAAAAAAAAAACTAGTATATAATTTAAAAATAATATGTGAACTGAATATAAACAATTATGTTTAATTTTTTAAACAAAAGTGAAATAATAATCTTATTATTTATATGTATTTGGTTTTGTTGCAAATGTATAAATTTATTGATATAATCTGTGTCGTTAAAAAAATATTAAAATAAATCGACACGTATCGAGAGCATAAAGAAACAGAAAATAAAAAAAATAAGGCGCTTAAATGCTTTACAAATGAAAAAAAAAATAGAGAATTTCTGAGAACCCATGTTAAACATTAGCATTTTCGGATTCTGTGAACGTAATTATGTTTTTAATCATTTAATAAGTTGTTACATTTTAAGCGAACTTAGAATGGAGAACGTTTGTAATTCGACAGTATTGTTTTTTTTTTTACGTGTAAATTAAATGATATATTTGCTAAATCTAAACTTATCTAAAGTTATTTTGTGATCGATAGGTTTTGTTTGTATTGTACTTGTATTTATCTATGATAGCGGTTTCACCGCTATTTTTCGTGGAACATAGAAAAAAAACTTAAGAATTTTTTGTCTATGTTTACAACAATTTTCTTAAATTTTTAATGTATTATGTTGTTATTTTTAATGTTTGAATTAAAATTATATTGTTTGCATCTATCATCATCATACCAGTTAACTGTTCAATGATGAATATATGCCCCTCCCCCCCAAGAGTAACTTTGCTATTGGGAAGGTATTGCTATTGCTATATACTTACAATTTTGGAGATATAGGCTGTATTGTATGTACTTGTAATATTTTATATATTTTTATGTGTATAGATAATAG